TCACAGCCCCGCAAATTTATAGCCCCTGGTTCAGGAATGCGGAGGGTATCATGTAACACACACACACACACAGACGCAGATGCTTAGTGCGGTGACCATGGCTGTCATGAAAAAAGGCCGGTGAGAGAGAGAGAGTCACTCGGAGGAACATCTTTGGGGACCGTCTGATAAAGTAAGATGATTTTATTTATTGCACACCCCTTCAATGTTTTATTCTATAATACCTCCGGATCAAAGACAACTGTCATACCCCGGATCAAAGACAACTGTCAACTTGACGTATAATAGAAAGGTCAATAGGGCAAAGACAACTGTCAAAATAAATGATTATACACCCACATCAAAGACAACCGGCATACCCCGGATCAAAGACAACTGTCAACTTGATCGATCGATAGGTCAAAGGGTCATCCCTAGATCAAAGGGACCTCCGGGACACACTCCGGAAGGTCAAAGGTTAGCCCCGCCCACCTGTCAATCATAGGGTCATAAATCATCTTGACAGAAGCTGCCGGGTATATCTACTGATGCAATAAATAGAATTATTGACTACAGGGGGACTTTAAAATACATCAGTGCCATGTTAGCTAGGATGCAATTAATGAAAATTGGGCACTTCTGGAAAAGTTTTTGATTTTTGGCAGGGTGTTAGGTATAGGCCTAAGGTTTTCAAAAATCCATGGATACAAGTTGGGGTGGTCCCCCTAGTGGGAGTTATCCATAAAATCCAAATTGGCCCCCGCCGAAAAGAGAAAAGGTTACATCTCAGCTTCCTTTAGTCTTAAATGGTTGTATAATGTATTTTTTTCTACTTTGTTTGATACAAGGAATCCAATTCTGATATATTCTTCTTATTTTAAGTCCATTTCCATGTTAAATCTATTATCATAGTCATATTTAGCTCAAATAAACTGTCAATATCTCTGAAAAAGTCACATTGAAATATTATTCCGGCCTCTAGACCCATATTTTTACCTCCAATGTATGCTTTTCTTTGTTGATTGGACAGGACACTATCACTATAGTGTCAAAAATCACATGTTGTGACCAAAAGGACCATTGTTTTTAAGGCTTTAAATGAACACAAATTCAGAACTATGCCACAGTGAAAAGTTATATTAGGCTTTTCACCATGTTAAGGATCGATATTACATTTTAGTCAAATAACTCAAAAAAACAATACATACTAAAACATCATGTATTTATTAAAAAAAAATCACTCTTCATCATTATTAGTACAGCCTCCCTAACACTTGCACAAGCACTGCCCCTCTTCCACGCGTTCAAAGGATGTGACGTTGTATCAGCAATGTATGGAATTGGCAAAAAAACTGCATGGAATGCGTGGGCAGCTTACCCAGAACAGAAGCCCCCGACACCCTCATTGTGATCACCCAAGACCCAACCAGCCTCACACTGGAATTAGTGCACATGCGAGTTCTCGAACGCTGGACTGTACTCATGCACACTCACCTAAAGGATTATTAGGAACACCTGTTCAATTTCTCATTAATGCAATTATCTAATCAACCAATCACATGGCAGTTGCTTCAATGCATTTAGGGGTGTGGTCCTGGTCAAGACAATCTCCTGAACTCCAAACTGAATGTCAGAATGGGAAAGAAAGGTGATTTAAGCAATTTTGAGCGTGGCATGGTTGTTGGTGCCAGACGGGCCTGTCTGAGTATTTCACAATCTGCTCAGTTACTGGGATTTCCACGCACAACCATTTCTAGGGTTTACAAAGAATGGTGTGAAAAGGGATAAACATCCAGTATGCGGCAGTTCTGTGGGCGAAAATGCCTTGTTGATGCTAGAGGTCAGAGGAGAATGGGCCGACTGATTCAAGCTGATAGAAGAGCAACTTTGACTGAAATAACCACTCGTTACAACCGAGGTATGCAGCAAAGCATTTGTGAAGCCACAACACGCACAACCTTGAGGCGGATGGGCTACAACAGCAGAAGACCCCACCGGGTACCACTCATCTCCACTACAAATAGGAAAAAGAGGCTACAATTTGCAAGAGCTCACCAAAATTGGACAGTTGAAGACTGGAAAAATGTTGCCTGGTCTGATGAGTCTCGATTTCTGTTGAGACATTCAGATGGTAGAGTCAGAATTTGGCGTAAACAGAATGAGAACATGGATCCATCATGCCTTGTTACCACTGTGCAGGCTGGTGGTGGTGGTGTAATGGTGTGGGGGATGTTTTCTTGGCACACTTTAGGCCCCTTAGTGCCAATTGGGCATCGTTTAAATGCCACGGCCTACCTGAGCATTGTTTCTGACCATGTCCATCCCTTTATGGCCACCATGTACCCATCCTCTGATGGCTACTTCCAGTAGGATAATGCACCATGTCACAAAGCTCGAATCATTTCAAATTGGTTTCTTGAACATGACAATGAGTTCACTGTACTAAAATGGCCCCCACAGTCAACAGATCTCAACCCAATAGAGCATCTTTGGGATGTGGTGGAACGGGAGCTTCGTGCCCTGGAAGTGCATCCCACAAATCTCCATCAACTGCAAGATGCTATCCTATCAATATGGGCCAACATTTCTAAAGAATGCTTTCAGCACCTTGTTGAATCAATGCCACGTAGAATTAAGGCAGTTCTGAAGGCGAAAGGGGTTCAAACACAGTATTAGTATGGTGTTCCTAATAATCTTTAGGTGAGTGTATAGTAAGAACTGCGGTGTCAAGTCAGTCAATGAAGCCTGTAAGCTTCTTTTCACTAATGGCCTCAAGTCCCTGGATTCAATCCCCCCGACCCAGCATGCCTTATTCCAGCATGGGAAGCGTGCCCTGCACACTGCAGCTTTTGTCTAGAAGCAGTCCCTCTCCAAAACTCCAGAGATTCCAGACCCCAGTGAGTGGGGTTGGGAATGGAATGACAGAACCAAAGTCTGGGTGCCATATTGGACAGATCTGGAAGATGTCAGCACTCAGCAAGGGATGCTCACTCCTCCTCAACTGTGGCTGTGTGGTTGCCTGCAAGGGCAACTGTAAGTGCCACCGAGCTGGACTTCGCTGTACCACATTGTGCAAGTGTGAGGGAGGCTGTACTAATAATGATGAAGAGTGAATTTTTTTTTAAAAATAAATACATGATGTTTAAGTATGTTTTTTGTGTGTGTGTGTGTGTGTGTGTGTTATTTGACTAAAATGTAATATTGATCCTTAACATGGTGAAAAGCCTAATATAACTTTTCACTGTGGCATAGTTCTGAAGTTCTGTTCAATTAAAGCCTCAACAATGGTCCTTTTAGTCACAACATGTGATTTTTGACACTATGGTGACTTTTTCAGAGATATTGACAGTTTATTTGCGCTAAATATGACAATGATAATAGATTTAACATGGAAATGGACTTAAAATAAGAAGAATATATCATAATTGGATTCCTTGTATCAAACAAAGTAGAGAAAATTACATTATACAACAATTTAAGACTAAAGGAAGCTGAGATGTAACCTTTTCTCTTTTCGGCGGGGGCCAATTGGGATTTTATGGATAACTGCCACTAGGGGGACCACCCCAACTTGTATCCATGGTTTTTTAAAAACCTAAGGCCCATACCTAACACCCTGCCAAAAATCAAAAACTTTTCCAGAAGTGCCCAATCTTCATGAATTTTCACGTATTCCTTCCCAGCTATGTTTAGTCTCAAGATGCACACCAGTAATGTTTTTTTTTCTAGAGAACATTTATGAACGTTACTTAAATGTCCTAATTGAACTGTCTAAAACCTAATCCCGGCTTAATCTAAGATCTGTCTGTGAAATCAGGCCCATATCTCTAAATTGTGACTTCATATCTTGCAATTGCTAATTTTATATTTCACAATTTTACGTTTAAAAAAAAAAAAAAAGTATTTGAAGGAGGGTAATTACCAGCTGGCTGTACATTATCCTGCTTATTACAGTTACTTGAATACAGAAACATTATTTTTGATACAATCCCTGTTCCTAGATCAATGATAAGTATCCTACTGCAAATACAGGCAGCGATACTTATCACTTCCAGAAGTATCTGAGTGCTTTCACCACAAGGTGGCGTGAACAAGCCACTTTCACTTCAAGATATTTTTTTTAGTATATACTGTATACTTTGACCTTTGAAAGTAAGATGAATGGTGATATTGATGCACTACTTAACATTTCTCTTGTTTTGTCTTGGGTTTTGTATTTTTATATTTTTAATTTGCATGAATTTTATTTATTTTCATTTTTCTTTAATTATTTTTATATTTATTATTTAATTATATTTTTAATATAATATTTTTTGTGGTTCTTTTGTCTTATCGGTTTCTTTTGACCACTGTATTAGCAGTTCCCCACCCTTTAACTTATTATTTCCCCCCTGAGACAAAAACAAGTGAGCATCACCACATATGTTATAGTTAAAGTTATGTTAAGATGCTCCGAATAATTTATATCTAAGTACAGTATAAAGATTCAAATCAGGTTGGATAAGTGTTATTTTGGTATCATTGAGATAGCCTACACTTACAGTTTTTGTTAATCTTTTAAATTAGTTTTTATTTTTCAATTTAATTTTTGTTAAAGTTTTATTAGTTTGGTTGATTGTATGTATTTCTCTCTTTTTTGTGTATATAATTCAGGAATTTTTATTTCAGTTTAAGATATTGTGGTACAACCAAGTTAAACTAAATGAAAATGAGAATTTTTTCCCCATTGTATTTTAGTTACCTAACGTTTGTTTTCTTTCAAGTGACAATTTAGGCCTACAACTATAATAACCCTTTGGATTATTGTTCTTTCCTGTACACGTGTATCAAGAAACAACTTGCGGCCTTTTGTTGTTTTGTTAAGACGTTTGTCAGCATGTTTTCTGTTTCACCTGATTTACAGGAAGAAACCTGCTTTTTTTAACAGAAGTTGAGGTGGGGGAGGGACTTGAGAAACATGTGGGAGGTCTGCATGTTTTTTCTAAAGCTATGCGTGAAGGAAGCTGTATGTGTATTATACAAAGATGTATGAGAGCACACCTGTCATTCGCCCGGCTGAACAGCCTACAGCAGTGATGGCTCGTTTGGATTTGACGATCCTCTTACTCATGTTGTCTGTGCAGTTGGAGGTCACAGACGCCTCTCTGACACAATTCCATGGGTCAACAGCCCCTGGAGACATCATCATTGGAGGTCTTTTCCCCATCCATGAGGCAGTGACGACAGTGAACCTCACAAGCTCAAACAGCTTCTCTGCTCCTCAGCGTCCCACCTGCAGCACGTGAGTGTTCATTCTTTATGAAGGTCAGAAAAAAGCGGACTGGACTGAACCCATTATTTTTGTCATTGGATAAGTCTGTAAATATTGGACAGTAAATGTTTTTTTTTTAATAAGGATTTATGGACATTACAGTAAAAGATTTGTAGGTGTAGAAATATATATATATATATATTTGAAAGACAGTAATATTGTGAAATATTATTACAATTTAAAATAACTGTTTTCTATTTTTATATATTTTAAAATCTAATTTATTCCTGTGATGGCAAAGGTGAATTTTCAGCAACCGCTGATTTGGTGCTTTCCCCCTAAAAATATATTAGATGGTGAATAATCATCATTATGTACATACTAAAGTCTTCTCTAGAGTATGTTATGTTTTAATCTGAAGAATATTGTCACAATCATCTCTACGTGGTTTTGTTTTCTCTCTAGATTCTATACAAAAGGTCTAAATCAGGCTCTAGCTATGATTCATGCTGTGGAAATGGCAAACAGATCCCCCATGTTGAGCAGTTTGAACATTACTCTTGGATACCGCATCTATGACACATGTTCTGATGTCACAACTGCACTTTGGGCCATCCAAGATCTCACACGGCCTCTCTCAGACTGTGATTCACCAACAAACTCTTCTCAACCTGTCCGGCCTATAATGGCGTTAATTGGGACCACTTCTTCGGAGATCTCCATCGCAATTGCCAGAGAACTCAACCTTCTGCTGATTCCACAGGTAAGCTCTTGCAAGTTCTCCCATCATAGAGCTCAAAATGAGGATGGGGTAATATATTGTTGTCTGTTTATCTGTTCTGCAGATTAGTTACGGATCCACAGCTACGATTCTAAGTGACAAAAGTCGTTTCCCAGCTTTCATGAGGACCGTCCCCACTGATGAGTACCAAACCCATGCCATGGTAAAACTTCTGAAGGACAATAAATGGACCTGGGTTGGCATTATCATTACAGATGGAGACTATGGGCGTTCTGCCATGGAAAGTTTTGTTAAGCACACCGAAACCGAGGGAATATGTGTGGCTTTTAAGGTGATCCTACCAGACTCCCTAGCAAACCAACAAAAATTAAACGCCTACATCAACAAGACCGTGGACATCATTGAAAAAAATGCGAAGGTTAATGTGGTGGTCTCATTTGCTAAATCATCTCAAATGAAGTTGCTTTTTAAGGGTCTACAGAGCAAGAATGTTGCAAGTAATAAGGTATGGGTGGCCAGCGATAACTGGTCAACTGCTAAATATATTCTGAAAGATGTAAAACTCTCAGATATTGGAACAGTACTTGGCTTCACCTTCAAGAGTGGAAATGTTACACGCTTTCATCAGTACCTTAAGGATCTACAGTTTGAAAGTGAAGATGAGATGAACAATTCATTCCTGAAGGAATTTTTAAAACAGCCTTATATAGGAAATGTTACAAACGCAGTACAGGAACTGATCATGTATTCGGACTTGGTCTTCAACATTCAGATGGCAGTCAGTGCTATTGCTAATGCTGTGGCAGAACTTTGCCTAAAAAGACAATGCAAAACCCCAACAGCTATCCAGCCCTGGGAGGTATTTTACCACACTAAAAAACACTTGCTGCCAAATTCAAAACTGCTTTTTTTTTTAGCTTGTCACAAATAACATCCTAAAAAATCATTGCATGTTTATGTTTCAGCTCCATAGACAGTTGTCGAAGGTCACTTTTGAGAAAGAAGGAGTAATGTACAATTTCGATGAGAATGGCGACATTAATTTGGGCTATGATATCCTCCTATGGGATGAACACGAATCTGAAGGACATGGCAAAATAGCAGAATACAATCCATCCTACAGCAATTTTACTTTTACAACCAAGAATCTAAGTGATTTTAAGGTAATTTACTTTTTAATGATCATTTTTATAGAGACAGATTTTCTATTAAAGTAAGCTGTTCCGTTTTCTATGATACCAGCTAAAGTATCATGACACGTAGTATCTTATTGGGACGTGTTGTTAGGGGAGGACTTTTGTATAAATCTTTACATTTCACACAAATGTATAACTGTTATTATTAACTTTTTTATTATTATTGACGTCAACAGACGTTTTTGGCAACTGTCACGCCTCAATTTTCCAGTGCCTCGCAGCATGTTTTTACATCAGTGTCTCTTGCATTAGGTGCGTTCATGGTATTTCATAATCACCTTTATTCTGAACTGGACCATACTTGTTGAACTTGTAATTAAAGCGTGTAAACTGGTAATTTCCTGAGAGCTACGACTTTCACCACGTGGCCGCTGTACCACCTGACCACTGCAGATTTAAGGTGTGTTCGACTTGAAGCGGCGTTGTGCAGACCAATCGGTGTATGACATCAAAGTACTGCGAGAAGGATTCAAAAGCAGAGCTTAATTATTTATATGACATGCCGTGAATGCAGCAAGTGTCTTACCAGAGATGGGCTTATTATTGGGAGTTATGAGGGTCTGCGGCTCTATCATTGGAGAAAGCTTAATGGATAATGGATCACACGTCCTTTTTTTTCCTCACAAAAGCGGTTTATAGTATTTATTTAGAGGAACGCCATGACAGGTATGAAAGCGAGGCTGTGAGGGATAGACTTACCGTGTTTTCATTGGCATCTGCTGTAAAAAAAAAGAAGAAAAAAATGTGTATAAAGCTTCCTGATTCCTGCAATTTTTCATCAGCAGAACATTCCAAAACACTCCAAATAACAGTACAACCCACTGAAGAGATGTGTGTCTATCCCTAACCTCCCTTATTCCTGTTAAAATTCAAAGATTTGAATAAGGTTTATTCATCGTAGCCTCTCCTTCTTTTGACATCTATTAAAAAAATAAGGTTGCAGGCTTGCCTTCAAGTGGCTTTGGTCTTACTATGCTGCATGGAGAATCTAAAGAGACACGGTGATGGAAGACAACCTATATTTCGATGCTTGTGTGCTTTCTCGCAAATTATTTGCGTTTATTCAGTGAAACTTTGCGTTCGCTTGCAAAATATTTCAGTATTTTGTGAGTGAGCGCAAAGTTTCTCGAGGAGTCCGAAAGTTTTGCAAGGAAACGCAATGTTTCTTGGAAAATAACAAAAGTCTTTCGGTCGAATGCTGATTTTTCCAGGTGAACGTAAAACTATGAGAATGCAAAAGCATTTTTTCCCCCATCACCATGCCTGTTTAGGGGCTCCGTAGTACCGGAATACTATGGAAGGACCGTTATACCATTTAGAACGTGTTCTGCTTTTTTTTCTTTTTTACTTTTCACACATTGTCCTCTCAGTGGAAAGGTGAATTAGCCTGGAGACTCTTCCATTCATCAGCACTGTGTTTTTTAACCGGTTTTGTGTTAAATGGCCAGAATGGTATTTTCTAAAAAGCATTCTCTAATGCAGTCTTTCACTTGTTTTTCCTCAGAACGTGACATCTAAGTGTTCAGAGAGCTGTCGGCCAGGGGAGTACAAAAAAACAGCAGAGGGTCAGCACACTTGCTGTTACGAGTGTCTCGCCTGCGCGGAAAACCAATATTCCAACCAAACAGGTAAGTTCCTTGGTATCAGGTTCCTTCACATTCACCTTTGCTGGGCGAAATTTCACTGGAGAACTCAGACATTACAATCAGAATGAATGTGAGGGCAAACAATTCCCCAAACAGATTTCACTCATGTTCAGGTTGGTCATGCAAACTTGATTTGAAAATTACTTCTGTGTGAGCAATGCGTCATACATATCTACGCTATTGACAATGAACAATGGATCTTGTTTGCACGAAAAATGTAGCTAATTCGACAGCACCTTTAGGATGAACATCTCTGATCTTCATTTTCAGTTTAATCCCAACAGTCAAAAATGTTTTTAAATTGTCTTTCAGATGCAGATTCATGTTCCAAGTGTGACCCCAAGAGTATGTCAATCTATAATAGTTCACAATGTCATCTCAAGACGTATGAGTACTTTGAGTGGAATAGTGGGTTCGCTATCGTTCTGTTGACGCTGGCTGCCTTCGGCGTCCTCCTCCTCTTCTTGATGTCTGCACTGTTCTTCTGGCAAAGGCACTCTCCGGTGGTAAAGGCTGCAGGCGGACCCCTTTGTCATCTGATCCTTTTTTCGCTGCTGGGAAGTTTTGTCAGTGTCATTTTCTTTGTGGGTGAACCGAGGGATGAGACGTGTAGGGTGAGGCAGGTCATCTTTGGTCTGAGCTTTACGCTGTGTGTCTCATGCATCCTGGTCAAGTCCTTGAAGATTCTTCTGGCATTCCAGATGAACCTAGAGGTGAAGGAGCTACTGGACAGGCTTTACAAGCCGTATGTGATCATCTGCATCTGCACGGGGCTGCAGATCATCATTTGCGCTGTTTGGCTGACCTTGTACACGCCTTTTAAACACAGCGCAGTGCAGCCCAAAGTCATTCTGCTGGAATGCCAAGAAGGTTCAAGTTTGATGTTCGGGTTAATGCTGGGATACATAGCTTTGTTGGCACTTATATGTTTCACGTTTGCTTTTAAAGGCAGAAAACTTCCGCAGAAGTATAATGAGGCCAAGTTCATCACATTCGGTATGCTCATCTACCTCATGGCCTGGGTCATCTTCATCCCTGTGCATGTCACCACCAGTGGCAAATATTTACCTGCTGTGGAGGTGGTTGTTATTCTTATTTCAAACTACGGAATCCTGAGCTGCCACTTTCTGCAGAAATGTTACATAATTCTTTACAAAAAGGAGCACAATACCAAAGACGCATTCATGAAGAATGTATATGAATACGCTAGGAAGAGTGCTGAGAACATCAGGGGCTTGGGTGGAACTGAGCCACCGAGTAAAACGGAGAATTCAGCCTACATCATATCCAATCCATCACTTGTGCCTGAGGAGGAACAAGTTTCTGATACCACACCTTAAGTCAAGTCAAGTCAAGTCATCTTCATTTATATAGCGCTTTTAACAATGGATTGTTTCAAAGCAGCTTTACAGAGATAAACATATAATTTAAGGTAACAGAGATTAAAATAGTATTAAGAATAATTGGATGCAAGAATTCAAAGTCAAAGCAACCATTTTGATGACATGTTGTCTTCATTTAACTTAAATAGACTGAGTTAAAAGAAAAACCTAACATAATGATGATTAATCTGAATGAGGATTAACACTTACATTTAATTATGGAAAACGAATCAAATGTATGCATGTATATGTATTTCCATATCCACCATCATCTGTAAAGAAAAATGTATTTGTAAAATGTACATATATTTGTTAAATGTAGCTATATATATATTTATGTGTATATACTGTTAATTGTAGGAAAATTTCAAGTTTCATTTGTTAATATTAGTCAATGCATGACAAACTAATAAATCGTCATTTTACAACATTAACTTTTAATTTAATTAATAAACTTTATTCACTTTATAAATGTAGTAAAGTTCATTTTAAATGAGTTTCATTACATTAAATAATGGTAGTTTATATAGGCTATTATAACAAAGATTTGCTGTATTAATATAAAATTTATGCATTATTAAAAAAAGTTAAAAAAAGTTAAAAATTGTTTATTTATTCAAATGAATTTTCGGGAAGCTGGCACATTTCATATATGTATTTACAGACTTTACATGTCTTTTACGTGACAGAGTCTCTCTTAGCTTGCACATCACTGATACTAAGAGAGAGACAGTGAGAGTGCCAGAGGCTTGATAACATCCCCAAACTCTCGTGATCCGACCGGGAAGTAGCTCCAGTTTCTTATGTCATGCTGATGTGAAACCTTTTTTCCTCAATCACCTATGCTTAGTAATTGGCTTTTGTTTGAATTACTGTGTAGTGACGTAGTGTCCAGCTCAGCCATTCAGTTACATAAGAATACAATAAACAGAAGATAAAATTGTTACGCAGTGTTAAGTTTATTCAGTCATATATCACTTTGAATGTAGCCTACATATTTGTACATTACATTTTAAATCGGATAATTTTGGGGGTGTTTTGGATGTCTTTCTTTCTGAAGGTTTGTGTAAATGCAAAATGTTTAGGTTTTCTTTTTATCTCTCACCCTGAGCATAATATTACATGCTTCAGTATCAAATGTCACCCATAAAGGTCTTACTCGAAATATGAGAAATGGGAGCAAATATGCAATGGCTCAGAAGTGAAACTTTTTGCAGCGGTTCTAAAAATGTGACAGATGATGAATCAATTCTTTATTGTTGCTTGAGTGAAACGTCACCTGTACAATCGTAAACGCAGACAGTGTAGTGATTATTGCCAGTGGCATGCAGTCTTTAGATGTTGTTTTGCGGTATTCCCCTCTCTAAACAAGCATGTCCAGTTTTGTCACCACAGACATTTTTCCACTTCAACACAAACATAAAATTTATTCAGATTTTTAGATAACGTTACACTAAAATCTGTGCTAAAGATACTAATGACGGAAGATAAAGCTGCACCCATGTTAAATATTTGTCGAGACTCGAGATGATTATGATGATCTAAATACACAATATTCAAGAATGATACCCAGCAGTTTAAATGTAGACAATTAAAAGTTGTAAAAACCAAGACAAGTGGCAGTGCATAAAGTGAGCTTCTCAGCACTGTTTAATAGCTATATGCTGTTTAAAATATCCTTTCCATAAATTAGGGGTTTTCAGTATCATTCATAAACCAATGCAAGGGTAATTTATATATATATATATATATATACACACACACACACACACACATATATATATATATAGGCCTACATATACATATATATATATATACATACATTTATTAATATTAAAATATCCTTTCCCTAAATTAGGGGTTTTCCAGTATCTGTCGTGATGTGGTTTTGTGTCCTGTCATGTTTAGTGGTTCTCTGTCTTGTCATTAGTTCTCCCAGGTGTTTCTTGTTATCCACGCCCCCTTGTTATCCTGTCTGCTCGTTTGTCTCTGATTATTTAAGCCCTGTGTTTCTGCCCTGTCTTTGTCAGTTATTGTATTCATTTACGTACTACGAGTGTCTTGCCTGTTCTGAGTTTTCCCAAATCTGTATTATTAAAGTCTCCTGTTGCATTTAGATCCGACTACCGCCTTTGCTTCCACGCAATTCGTGACAGAATAACTGACCTCACAGGATCTAGCAGTTAGGAGAAGAACTCACCGCAAAATGGATCCAGCAGTCGCTCCAGCAGTCTCTCCCATAGTCGTCAGCAACCGGGCCCTGAGAGAATATCTCTCGGTAATGTTTCAAGAGAACCAGTCCGTCCGAAGCTACGCTAATGACTTCCTCTCCATTTGCCATCTAGGAACGCTCGATGAAATCCAGCTCATAAGCCTGTTTCGGAGCGGGCTGGATTACCGAATCGCTCGATGGATGCCGAGTGACATTACCGATTGGACTCTGGACCGGTACATTGCAGAGGCTTGCTTCGTGGACGGCTCCAAATCCACGTTCCCGTCCTACCCAGTCGCGCCCGCGCTCCACAAGCCTGCAATGCACTTCAGCAATGCCGAGACCGCGCTCCACAAGCCTGCAACTCACGTCTGTCCAGCCGAATCCGCGCTTCACGTGAGCCAAGTCGAGCCTGCTTTTCACGACATGCCTGAGCTTCTTCCAGCCGAGACCGACATGCCTGAGTTTCTATCTTCCGAGCCCGCGACTAACGTCTGCCCAGCCGAACCCGCGGTTCACAAGTCAAGTGCCGAGTCAAGTGAGTCAAGTCCCGAGTCAAGTCCCGAGTCAAGTCCCGAGTTCATGGACCCTCTTCGTACAAGGTTAAAAACTAGTTCAAATGTGGTCATTGTGGACATATTTTTTTTACATCATTTATGGTCTCATTTAGACATAATTACTTTGACTATTGCTGTCAGATTATCTTAGTGTGAGAATTAGCAGAGGTTTAGATGTTGATATTTGTTTCATTTGAAGTGTCACCATTGTGGTGATCAGCGTTTGCTTTAGTTGGGCTCTTATTTTTACTTTAGCTTTTCTTTGGTTGCTGTAACTATGTGTTTGTATAACACAATTGTGGTGGCAGAGAAACCCAAGATAAAGTAGGATCAGGTGTTATCAGCTCATTGTTGATGATGACATAATCATCACAAAAAAAGCAACAAATGTTAGTTTGAAATTGTTTTTATATTTGGCATTCATAACCACCAACCTTATGAAACGGCAATATTGGTGCCAATAGAATAAAACATATTTTGAAAGTATGAAAAGCATGTGCACAGGTTCTGAGCAAATGTATCATGTAGTCACACACAGACATCAAGATTTAGGATATGATTCACAACAACGGTGACAATAAAAACAAAATTCTTGGGAATCAATGATGAGTTTTGAACTATGAAAGCTACCCATCATGCATTGTAGCATGACAATAATTTTTTTATTGTCACCATTGTTGTGAATCATATGCAAAATCTTGATGTCTGTGTGACAAGATGATACATTTACTCTAAACATTGTATGCACATAATTTTTATCCACCTCTAAATAAGTTATATAAACACTATTGGTACCAATATTGCAGTTCCAAAAGATATAGGCGACAAGAAATGCCAAAGTATCTGACAACATTAGATACTTGTTTTGTGATGATTTCATCATCATCATCAACATGAAGCTGATAACACCTGGTCTTACATATTCTTGGCCTTCTTTGCAACATCAATTGTGTTATACAAACACACAGTTACAACAGCCAAAGAAAAGCTAAAGTAAAAATAAAGGGGACCAAGAGCCCAACTAAAGCAAACACTGATCACCACAATGGTGACACTTCAAATGAAACAAATATCAACATCTAAACCTCTGCTAATTCTCACTAAGATCATCTGACTGCAATAGTCAAAGTAATTATGTCTAAATGAGACCATAAATGATGTAAAAAAATATGTCCACAATGACCACATTTGAACTAGTTTTTAAACTTGTACGAAGAGGGTCCATGAACGTCTATATCGGACGTGCAGAAAACGTCAAAAAAAGACGTCATAAAAACTTTCATTCTGGCTCCCCAGTGGACGTCTTTTCAACGTCCGACTTTTGTGACAAAGACGTTGAAAAGACATCTTTTGGACATCATTTTGCTTAGTGATGTTTGTTTACTATGGGTGTCAAAAAACCTTTTCATAAATGGTTCTACAAAGAACCTAATAAAGTGACATGAAGAACTGTTATAGGTTCTTTAAAGAACCTTTGAGAATGGTTCTTCAAGGAACCTTTCAGTGAAAGGTTCTTTGGGGAACCAAAAAAGGTTCTTCTATGGCATCGCTGTGAAACCCCCTTTTTGGTTCTTCCTGGCACCTTTATTTTTAAGAGTGTATAGATATATATACATATTAGTTCATGCTTCCTTAGTAGTTGTAGCCTATCTTTATATATCTTATAGGCTAAGTGATATTCGGTTTTATATGATACCATGATTTTTTCTGTATTAACTCATAAAATATTTTCAGTTTAAGAGTAAAACCTCAAAGAAAAAGTAAATTAAACACACACACACACACACACACACACACACACAGGCGCGTGTGTAGCCTATGTTTAGAATATACGGTAACACTTTATTTTAAGGTGCTTGTAATAAGCAGTAATAAACAGTAGTTAATAAGACACTTATAAGACCTTATAAGATACATATAAGATGCATATAAGCATTAACTAATTATAATAAATAAATTAAATTAAATAATACATTTCTCAAGTATCAATACATTGCACTTTTAGAACAGCTGAACAAACGTAAATAGTAACACAAACTCCCTGTCCCTTAAAAATTTACCTTCCGAAGAGGGAGTAGTTTCCCTGATCTCTTCAGGGCCTGGACCTTTAATTAACCCTTACATGAAGTAGTTAATGCTTATATGCATCTTATATGCATCTTATAAGGTCTTATAAGTGTCTTATTAAC